AGAGAAGGGAGGGAGGAAGGTGGGGAGATGAGGAAGATAGTGAGGGAGGGAGGGAGGAAGATGGTGAGGGAGAGAGATGGTGAGAGAGGGAAGGGGGGAAATGGCCAGAGAGTCAGGAAGGTGGTGAAGGTGGGGAGGGAGGGAACACACACACACACACACACACACACACACGGGGGGAAGATTTTCAAAACGCTGGCAGATTTATTTTCCTCTTTGACAACAGGGAATCACCAGCTCGGTAGTTCAGGACAGGAAAGTGAAATCTGGAATCTGGTTTATCGGTTTTATTTACGTCTTTACAGATTTTAGTGGTTCTTATTATATGTTATCGTTAATGTATACTGTTCACCTATATATATATATATACACTCATAGAGCCCTACACACACACACCTACAAACTCCCACACACCCCCACCTACACACACACCCCACACCCCACACACACCCACACACACCACACACACAGCCCCACACACCCACACCCCCCTACCCACACCCCATCCCCACACACACACCCCACATCGTCTCCTTCAACTCACCCTCGCTCTCCTTACCATCTCCCCCCTCCATGTTATAACACACATGACACAATAATCCAGCCTTTCTCCCTGAGTTTATTCACCGTAATAGCCCATAACAGTCAAGTACCCTTATCAAGATGAACCTCTCTGTCATTAAGCTCAGGTCTTCTCCGTCGGGAATCATTTAGTACTAGTAAAGGATTTTTCTCGGCCATATCTGATAGGAAATTTAGAGTCGTGTAAATATTGGGTGAATTTTTTTTTTTTATTCCAGAACCCTTTGTGATTGGTGTAGCTTTGAACGTGTTGTAGACAAGAACCAGTGATTATTTTTTAGGTTTTTGTTTATTACTTGTTCGAAGATAGTGAGTTTTTTTTTATCTTGATCTGTAGCTGTGACCTTTGTTTGACCTCGTGTGACCTTTACTGTGTTAGGATAGTTTTGTTCTTAGGTAACGTTCAGATTGAAAATATTTCGAGTGGTGGGCCGTGGTCGCCAACCCTCAGACCTAAAGATAGCATAAAAGATTCAGACTAATTGTCGATTTTTTTTCGAAATTGCTCAACTTTATTTCGAGGTAGTTTATTCGCACGTGCACATTTACTTTTTATGTGTATATGTTTTGAGTTTGACACACACACACACACATACACACACACACACACACACACACACACACACACACACACACACCGATTTTAATTAAACAACGGATGGTCTCGATGTTTTCCAAAAATGAAACCATTTATTTTTTGGGGAAAAGGTAAATCAAAAGTCAGGTGCAAAGTTTCGAACCCAATGCAATTTAAATGGCTACTTTAATAGCTTCTACCTACACTACCTTCCTTGTGGTGTTTAATGCGTTATATAATACAAAAGAGTTATTTGACACTTCACTGACCATAAGTCGGATAAACAGGCCACACAGAGGGGAGGCGAGCTAGAGATGGGGGAGTAGAAGAGGTGGGGGAGGCTAGGTATAGAAGGGGGTAGAGGCAGGGTATAGGGGGGGAATAGGTAGGGGTAGAGGCTGGATAAAGGTAGGGTGGGGAGGAAGCTCATCATATTACATTTCAGTCACTTAATCCAACATTGTTTTTCATTTTAATCATATTTAATCAGGATGAGTTTGAATTATGTTATATCATTTGGTTATCAGTTGAAATTATAGTTATTGTTTAGTCTTTATAAGTTTTTGTTGATGGTAAGATGGATACTACAATAAAGTCACCAGTTTAGAAGATAAAATTATCACATGAAGATTAGAACCCCAGCTTTTATTTCATCTGTGGGACGTTAGGTTAGGTTAGATTAGGTTTGGTTAGGTTAGGTTAGATTTAGGGTGGTTAATCATAAGGTGAAATAATCTGTGGGGGTTCTAATCTTCATGTGATAAAAACTCTACATTTTACATACTTACGAAAAAACAATAATAATGTTGTCAAAATACCTGTAGAAAGGCGGCGATTATATCAAACTCACCACAAAACACATCAACAGAGAGCTTTAAGTAACAATGGTATTCGCAGCCTCACCTGAAATCGGAAAACTCGTTTAAAATTGTTTGGTTCACGTCAGGGGATTAAGCGATGTGGCCAAAACCTCATAACAGAGATAAACTATTTTACAACAAAGGTTCCAAAACAGCCTTCGGACCCATTGGCTCTGAAATATAACTGGAGAGAATATCCCAAAATACTGGGTCATATCTTACCTTTGGGAATAATTACACACGCCTGTACTTGATTGAGATACCTATTCCTTATCTTAATGAATGGAGGAAAAGCTTTCAAGTCCCTCAAGGCGTATAAATACTTCGTTCCTTCCTGGTGATGTCAAGACGTTGTATTTTCGTTCCCTGACAGACGATAACCAATACTGCTTTATCAGGGGAAGAATAATTGTCCCTTTTCAGAGATCGAGTCAGAAATATGACCAGCCTTGAGACGACCTGATAAAGTACACACTGTATACATGGCAAAAGGCACACTGTATACATGGGCTTAAGACACATTGTATACATGGGCTTAAGACACATTGTATACATGGGCTTAAGAGGCTCACATGTATAGCAAGATTATATAAGAAGTTCCAATGACTATCCTTGTATCTGTTCCATGAGTGTTGATTTGTTTGTTTTTAGTCTATTATTATCATTGTCTTAAACTATCCTAATTCTCTATAGACTAAATGAATCTTTTACTTCGTCATCTTTATTAACACTTTCATTACCTTGTATTTTATTTAGAACTTATGGGTAAAAGTTATCCTTAAAATAATTCATTCCCACCTAACACAAGTTGTCTGTATATGTGTATTTTCTTAAGTGAATATTAATAAAAAAAACTATAAAAGTAACTCATTCAAAATTTTAAAGTGGAGAAAATAATGAAAATATATTAAAAAGTAAAAAAAATATATATATATATCTCTAAAATTAAAAATAGGAAAAGTTAATATAAAGTTTGGTAATCTTGCCTGAAATGAAGAGTAGACTTTAAACTCCAAAACTCTTTTAAAAGATTATCCTCCTCTTCTGCGTCTGGTAGGCGATCCGGGAAGACAGTTTTCTGGATCCTTCACGGGACATCAGCTGAAGAAAATAACATTACCTAAATCTTATCCACTGAGTTTTAAAGACCATAATATTGACTAAATATTATAGAAACTGTCAAAAAGACCTGGATTTTTTGTAATAATTTTCTACCAACAAGTTGTCCATGTGATAAGATTGGTAATAGTCTAGATAAGGGACTCACAAGAAGGAACAACTTTAGGGAAAAATTCTGTTGAAGCAAACTTGTTTTTTATCTCTCAAATATAAAAAAAATGGTTGAAGGAATTATAACATTTGCTTCTTTTGTTTTCCTGGATTTTTTTATCCTGAACATGAACCTGTTATCAAATAATGTTTTACAGCATTTTTTATGTTATTTATTTTGTACTGTTCAGCATTTCATACCTGGACAGCATCTCATCATACCCACGGACGTTTGTTAGTGACCAATGATCAATGATGTAAGATAAATAATATAAACCACCTAACCTAACCTAACCTAGGGTGGGCATGCATTATATTAGGCAAGGTAGGTTAGTTAGGGTATTAGTTTAATATTAACAGTTGGCATGGAAAGTACTCTGGGAAGTATTCAGATGCTTAGTGTCAGGATCACTGGCTGGCTAACACGTTAACGGTTGAACCATATACCATCCGTGCATATTTACTCAACACAAATTACAGAGGAACAAAAGTAGAAAGATGCACTTCCTCCATCTTTCTCGTGATATTCCAGGGATAAGAATCAAATTTTCTTCTATAGAATATTTTCCTAAAGTTGCTTCATCTCACGAGTTGGTTATCTAAACTATTACCAAAAAAAATATTAACGTGGCAATGAGTGCTACAGTATTATTGTGTTTTCCTTGCCGCTGTACACTGTCTGTTCTTTTCGGTTTCTTCTGCACTTGTTACCGGTTTTTCTGCTGTTGTTTATGTTTCTGTTGGTGGTTTTGTTAATGAATATAATGTATAGGTTAGGTTAGGTTCTGCTATTATATTTATTTCATGTTCTCATTGTCAAGTCTTTCTGTTAAAGCTTCTACATTTGAAGTCGCAGCAGTATAACCTTCCTCTCGAGAATTTAGTCTTACCTCCAGCTCGAGATCTGAGATTTACTGAGCCGTCGGTTAATCGTGGTCCCGGGCCGCTGTGCCATTAGCTTATTACCTGCCGGGAGACTTAAGTAACAAGGGCAATGAAGGAACCGCTCTGGTACCTGAAGTTTGATCACCTCAGTAGTTTCTGCCATATTTCTCTCTTGATTCTGCCTCCTCACCCCCTCACCTCACTCCTACTCCTTACTCCCTCACCTCACTCCTACTCCTCACTCCCTCACCTCACTCCTACTCCTCACTCCCTCACCTCACTCCTCCTTCCTCACCTCCCTCACCTCACTCCTACTCCTCACTCCCTCACCTCACTCCTACTCCTCACCCCCTCACCTCACTCCTACTCCTCCTCCCTCACCTCACTCCTACTCCTCCTCCCTCACCTCAAACAGTCTCCTATTTCACATCCTCTAATACCTTCTGGTTCGATATTCAAAAGGTTCGCAGTTCGATCTCTTCAATCTCTTTCGTTTTGAAACTTTCGGGTATTTCTCAGTGTAGTCTTGTTCATTTCGTTGTCTGGAATGGCTCAGCAAATCCCAGTCTAACTTCCATCGGTAAAATCCAGTTTAACCCTCTCAGACAATATCTTGCTCGAACAGGTTCAATTCTTCGAAACGTTTTGTAGTTGACGATCCCTAGGGGTGTGTGTGTGTGTGTGCGCGCAGCTTCGATACCACCTGAATTGTGCTCACTTGAACCTCACATAAACAACACATACTGTACATCAAGATCTCACATAAATTATCCTGATACATCTATCCTGTGTTTTTTTTTTTTTTTACAATCCTCTTATCATTCCAGGTTCGGTGTGACTCATTGTCTCATTGCTCGCGTCTTGGTCTTCCTAAACATAGCTCAAATTCGTCAACTTTCGTCCACTTAAAGATGATCATTTTGTGAGAAGATTTTTGTACTGTTGATGATATATTACTGAACTTTTAACAACTGAGGAATCTTATGGGTTATTCTATTAGTTTACACATTAGTCAATAACAGTCGGGAGATACAACTCTGGTTAATTTATGTAAGAGATCTGTTTATTGTATAGAGTGTTCTTGGTCATACTCGTTTAGTGGTTCAGTTTATGGAGTGTATCAGCTTACTCAATGGTTCATTCTTACAGCTGTAAATGGGTACCTGACTACACGGTTGAGGAAGTGACGGCGGTTGAGTGCAGTACCGGCCATGCTGCCTCCTTGTGTGCTAAAGACTTGCTATCCACACTGCCCCTACCACTTATCATGCACACTTAACACCAGGTATTTTAAACTCATTTTTGGTGTAAAATAAACTTTTAAGGTCAATAAAACGTTTCCGAGAGAATAAAGAATGTATTAAAAAATATTTGGTTCAATTTTGTGTAATAAAGTAAAAATCTAACAGGTCAAATGGAGCACACATCCAATAAAACAGGTACACGTCACTTCTATAACACTGTGTCAGCATTTGGAAGGTTATAACAACGTGTCACAGAAAAACCAATATCTTCCATCCGTGAGTGAGTGACTGAGTCAGAGAGTGACAGCACAGAGTTGCTGGCCCAGCTTAATCTTGTTAAATTTAGTTGAATTTGCTCCAAGCTGGTATATGAAAGTCACATCTAAGTGGATTTGGTAACTTGTAGTGGCTTATCATTAAGGAATAAATTTCCTTCCTCCGTCAGTGAGTGTGTGAGTTAGTAAAAGAGTTATGTAAGTATTTGTTGAAGAAATTATAATTTATCTTTACCATAGTCCTTTGAAGAAGGTTAATGACAATGTGTGTTTAGTTTGAGACATTCGAGGAAAATCTAGATATTGGTCGTAAAATAATGCCTCTCTCTCTCTCTCTCTCTCTCTCTCTCTCTCTCTCTCTCTCTCTCTCTCTCCCCCCTTCCTTACACGATACGGACTTAAGGAAATATACTTTACCTTCCCTTGACACACACAAACCTCAACCAATTTTCTTCTCCTGAAACAGAAACTATCGAACCAATACATTACATTGAAGTATAAACCAATTAACGCCAAGCTTCTCAACCACATAGGCACAGTCAAATTGGCAATTATACCATAAAATGAAACTTATTTCTCTGTCATCTCACTTTTCTAGAGACACAAAACAGACATGAAGGGTTTGGTTAGGTTAGGTTAGGTTAGGTTATGAAGTCGTTCGAAATAAGGCAAACAGAGTATTGGGTTTTATATCTAGAAGTGTAAGTAACAAGAGTGCAGAGGTCTTATTGCAACTATATCTTGCGCTAGTCAGGCCGCACCTCGATTATGCGGTTCAGTTCTGGTGCCCTTATTATAGAATGGATATCAATTCACTGAGTCGGTGCAGCAAAGAATGACAAAAATGATTCCGGGACTTAGAAACCTTCCATATCAGGATAGGTTAATGAAACTTAACTTGCATTCCCTAGAAAGACGAAGAGTGCGGGGAGATATGATAGAAGTATTTAAGTGGGTGAAAGGAATCAATAAAGGGGATATAGAAAAAGTTCTTATAATATCCGAGCAGGATAGGACTCGGAGCAACGGATTCAAGTTGGATAAGTTTAGGTTTAGGAGGGAGATAGGAAGGAACTGGCTCATAAATACGGTGGTAGACGAGTAGAACAAGCTTAGCAACTTTGTAGTAAGTGCGGGAACGCTGGAAAGTTTCAAAAGGAGGCTAGATAGATTCATGGATGATAGAGAGTGGTAGTAACTCTCGACAGGAGCTGCCATGCACAGGCCAACCGGCCTATTGCAGACTCCTTATTTTCTTATGTTCTTGTGTTCTTATGACGTCAGTGGCTGTTGGCGAGGACGTGATGTAAACAAAGACGTGATGTAAACAAAGACGTGATGTAAACAAATAGAAATGAATAAATGAATGAATGAAGTCTGAATGAAATTAATGATTTGAGTGTGTGTGTGTGTGTGCGTGTGTGTGTGTGTGTGTGTTTATTTTTGTTCATGTTTGTTTGTTTGTATTTGTTTGTGTTGTTTTTTTCCTTTTGTTTGTTTATTTATTTGTTGTATATCCTTCCTTCATTTAGTCTAGGGGGAGGAAAAATAAGATAAGATACGACGAACTCTTGTCTCAGCAGCCATGAAGTAATATGAAACATCTTCTTCAGTTTTCTAGTCACTTGAGGAAAGTTTATATACAATGTTATTTTTTTTAAACCTTGTGAGTCTCTATGATTATATAGAACAAAGATTTATAAAAACTGAATATAAAATAGATGATTTATCGTGCTTACATTACTTGTGTTTACAGAGACAGGCAGACAAACAGACAGACAGACAGACACCCCACAAATACACTCGTCAATATTTTTATTTTACAATGAAAAAAAAAATCCCCATCCAACCCCATCCAGTAATCCTATACACTAAGTCATCTTACCTGCTGATGCTAAAACTTACACAGTGCCAAGATGAGGCACTTAACCCTCATGGCACCCAGCTGTGGCACCAACTCTTCATAAAAAAACCACACAATAAACCACTAAATCCCTACAACTAATACTTCACAAACATACAAACACACACTCATAATATCCCTAAGTAATAAAAATTTTACCTTTCTGAATATAATAATAAAATCACCTTTATATTAATTTACTCATTAAAAACAGGTAAAAAACTTAAAGATTAGAATATCCTTTGAACTTGTATGTCATATTCACTTCATCTCAGGTCCAGGAGAAGCTCGTTAATGAAGGAGGTTCCTGTGACGTACATTGGGTGGCCTCAGCTGCCAGGTATTATGTTATTGCTGGTGTAATTCGCAGGATTGGTGCGTCTAATTGGACCCCTAGCAATTACCTCCCAACGTTGATCATAGGAGGAAACTGTCCGTGGGTTTCTCTATCTCTCTGTCTCTCTCTGTTCTCTGTCTGTTTCTCTGTTCTCTTTCTGTTTCTCTGTCTCTCTCTCCGTCTCTTCCACCCATCCTCTATCGATTTCTCAACCTTGTTTCATCAATTTTTTTTCTCTCTCTCTCTCTCTCTCTCTCTCTCTCTCTCTTAATCTGTTTTACTATCATGGTTGGTGGGAAGAGAGATAATGGTGATAAAGTAATGGTAATGAGGCAAGGGAGGAGGTTGGTGTGGGGTGGAAGGGAGATTATGATGATGATGGTGGAAGAGGAGGAAAGAAAAATATGTTGAGGAGGGAAGGATGAGGTGTGAGGGAGAAAAAGGATAATGAGAGGAAGGGTAATGAAGAGAAGGAGAAGAGAAGAGAAGGAGGAGGAAAAGAAAGAAACACAACAAGAAAGGGGAGGAGGAGAAGGAGAGTTGGATGAATAAGTAAAAACAGATGGTGATAATATTGTAAAAAAAATCCATTAAAATTACTAATTATCAATAGTGTTCTTTTGTCGATACTAATGATGCTAATTATAAATACGAATATAAATAGGAAGAATAAATCAAAATATATTACCCCCCAAAAAAAATATTATTACCTCGTTAGGATTAATTAAATAGCGTTGAATAGTCTCTTCAGCATAGTTAACTCTTAATTAAATAGGAACGTCATCTATTTACATTATTGATATAGTCGTGAACTATGGCCAATATATTTAATAGTGTGTTGACTCTAATGCAATATCCTAACCCTAATCCTTTGATGTTATTTCACTTATTCATCATCACTATTTACGGACTGCTAGAGACTATTAAACCATTATACACAAAGAACTATAATATTATATAAGCTGTTAAATAACCTCATATATGGTATAACGAAACTCTGAAGATATATAGACATTTTATATAGGAAACTTTTTCTTTTTCTTATTTCTGTATTTTTTTTTTCATTTATTGTATTAACTCCTAATGTGTCCTGTTGTGTACGCGTTTTTAACATGTCTTGACCTTTGACACAGACAGACATAGAGCTATAATTCCCCGACTCACCCTGTCAGTCGATAAACAAATACTAATTATATCGACCCAATTATCCATAATTCACCAATACGAGTTACAGAGACACGAGAAGTTTCAAGGTACAAGTTGTTGATTATACTTCCCAATTAGACGTAAGTTGTTGATTATACTTCCCAATTCGACACAAATTATTTTTACCTCGCATATATCCACGACAAGAGGCTGTGAGAACATGTATTACAACAAAGTCATTCACGGTAGTCGTTTGGTAATTAGTGTACGTGGATGGCTGTGTCGTCCTATCGTGTGTGTGTGTGGTGATTGGTGTCCTCACTCGTGTGTACCATTTAGTTCCAGCTTGTGTGCGTGTTACTCTGATGTTGTTAGATGTTTATTGGTTAATATAATACAAATTAATCATGGTAGCTTGAAGACCTGCAGTGATGTGTTGTATTCACGATATCACTGGAAGATGACAAAAGGTTCATGTGACTTGACTTAGTCATTAATGAAGTAGTCTTGAAAGGTATTAAATATTTATGTTCTCGTTGTAACAATATTAAAGACAATAGGGATGAATAAATCAGTTGAATAATGATAGGGTACAGTGGATATTGTTTCATTATATGTATTAAATATTCTATATCTTGGATCAGTCGTCAGGGGAGAAGCGACACTGAGTTATAGGGAGAAATATTGTCTCTTGCTCATCTTGTTCGCAATGAATCAACTGGCAATGGTATTTCTAACTTGGTAACTCCGTCAATACTATTCCTGTAACTCGCCATAAATGTTATTGTATTAAACGAGACTTATAAAGGCAAGAGTTAGATATATACTTATTACATTACTCAAATAAATAAAAATACAAATTGGCTACAAACTTTTAAATCGTTGTTTCATGTTTCAAAAAGTTATCTGACAAATTTGAACACGATGGTCAAATATTAAGCTTGACCACGGGAGTCACAGGTCAGAGGACAGACCCACAATACACAAAACGCTACATTGGAAAGCGTAAATTTTCCGCCAATCCGCCATATATTGACACATTCTAAAAGTTGCAATATGTTGTAGCCAGAAGCGGTAGTTGGTTGCAATTTTAGGTATGCTGCATTATTTTTTCAATATTTTAAAAGCCTGTTTATCAGTTCTAAAATAGTCTCGCATTTTGAGGTCAGCAATCAGTCTTCCCTAATACTGGAATTAAACAAATAATAAGCACAGAGACGTTTTCCTGACGCGGCCATAATGTGGGCTAAAGTCACAGACCAAACAGCCAATAAAGCAACTGATCTCAAATTTGGTAAAAGTTTAACCAATCACAGGTCATCAATCACACGCGTACGGTGGCTGACGTGTTTGACGTAGACTTGTCCAAACAAACATAAA